AAAAAAAAAAAAAATCCCAAACCCAAAGTTATAGGAAACTAATCAAAGGAGTTACTAACACTTTGAAGATAAAAGTAAACTTGTGATGTAATAAAGTCTCTGTTGGCATTGATTCAATGGTAATATCTAATTACAATTCTCAGTAGTAACTAGTGTTACATTGAAAGAAAAAGGCTGAGTTCGGATGATGTCTGTGAAAATCCTATGACATAAAAGTATCAATTGTAGTTAGGTGATAGCTACTGCAAATACAAGTGTCATCCACCCACATAATTAAAGACGTGGCTCAATTCCATTCAGTAGTTAATGAAAATAAAAATGCTGTTTTCCCCTCTGTGTTTTGTTCACATCCACCTGGTTGAGACCCTAAATAATACTAAAGCTGTTCTGTCACCGGTTAGCAAATTATAGCCCGGTGTTTGGTCGCTGTGCATGTCATGGCAGGCTAGCAGCAAACCCAAGTGCCTCATTCCACCTGCCTCCAAACTGCTGCCTGCTGTCTGCCTGAAGCCTCAAGGGCCTGGGCTCCCATAGAAAGAACATGTTAATGGTGGGAGCCAAGTTAGCTTGGGAAAAAAGTAAGCTTTGGAGGACCAGGAGGGAGCATCATCAGTCAAACAGCAGCCACACAAACACGAAGGCCTGAGCTCAGGACCTAGCACCCACAGAAAAAGGCCCAAAGCAGACGTCACACTAGTGGCCCACACATTTAATCCCCAGCATCTTCTAGACAGATGCAGGTAGATCTCTGTGAGTTCAAGGCTAGCCTGGTCTACATAGCCAGTTCCAGGCCAGCCAGAGCCAAACCATGAGACCCTGTCTCAAAAAATAAAATAACGTATCAAACATGCTTGTAATTCCAGTCCTGGGGAGGCAGAAACAGGCAGGTCTGTGAGGCTCACCAGACAGCCATCGCCACCTAATCAGAGTTCCAGTGAGCGACTGTCTCCAAACAAACAAACAAACAAACAAACAAACAAACAGAAACAAACACAGGGATTGCTCTGAAGAACAAGTGAAAATTGGACTTAGACCAGTTTTCTCTTTAAAAAGACGCTCACCTGTTAACAAAGATACAAGTAAGCCTCCCAAGATCTAGTAAGATACATTTAAACTATTTGCCTGTAAATTTTATTTAGAAAATATCTAGTATCTCTCTGGAGACAGCAAGATGGTTCAATGGGTAAAGGCCCAACCCTGATGATCCTGATGAGTCCTAACTCTCAGGAGGCACATGGTAGAAGAGAGGACTGACTCCCACAGGTGTCCTCTGCTATCTCCCCCTCCCTCCCTCCCCC